TGGAACTTAGAGGTCTCAGTGGAAAGAATGAAAAATTAATGAAAAAATATTATATAAGCTGGAAAACATGTTAGAGGCATTACCAAACAAGTTTAATAAATATCTCATTAAATCTGATATTTTGAAAATTCTAAATGTTTCCAGCCCAGCGAGGTCATTGCTACATAAATAATGCATGTGCCTCATGCACATTTATGTGCTATCCGGTACTGCCGTGCTGGATAACCCCGGCGTGGGCCACTTCATTTTGTAAATTAAAGCTGTCGTTTCCAGCTTACCCCTGCGGGGCTGTGTGAGCGGGTCCCGGCAGGACGAGGCAGCGACGCCAGCCTGGGAGCGCGAGATGTGGATGTGCTGGGGAAAGGGAGCTGCTCCCACGGTGCGGATTCGCAGGGGAATGCATCCCTTTGCACGTGGAAGTCATATTTGTGACACACACGGGTTTGTCACCTGCTGTCTTCACTTGGATGAGTTTTACTGATAAAGAGGAGTTCAATTTCAAAAAGTCCTCATTTCTCCTTTCTTTCCCTGCATTTAATGCTCATGCTGCATCTTCCCAGCCCTTAGCCTTACCTGGCAGCAATTTTTCAGACCTTTACAGAATTATTCCAGAAGCAGGAACGCAGAATTAATATTCACATTGCATCAATAGAGTTGACTGCGTGCCAACAGAGAGCCAAAGGTCTTGTTCAAAATTTGCTTTTACCAGAAGATCCGGACAGCGACAAAAATGCCTGGAAATCAGATTTTGGAATTCCATCCCTGATTTAACAGATATCATCAAATTGTCCAGACTGAATGAAATGAAGACAACTTTATACAACCTAAGAGTGGAAGAATTTCTAGCTTTGAAATATTTGGGTTGAATTGGATCCTCTTTCTCTTTTTAACTTTTTGAAAGTAATCTGTCTGTTCTTAGACCCTAACCATAAAAAATATCCCTAAAAACAGACAGAAAATGCTTTTTTTCTATTCTGTGTATGTTTAAAGTAGCATAAAACTCAGTGCTATCAAGTCAAACTGTGGTAGCTTTGAGGTGGAGCTCCACATTTGGCAGAGAAAAAGAGGAAGAGGGGAGTGATGGCACTGAATCCAGGGACATAAATGCAGATGGACCCAGTTCAGCTGAGGAAAGACCATCAGCTCAGATCCATTATTCTCTGCTTGAGAAAAGCAGATCCCAGAAGCACTTTAGAGGCACCTCCTTCATTTCACATAGTCACCTAGAAGTCATCGCTCCGTTGCTCAGGGTAGGATCAAGCATAGGACAATAATCTGGTGCATTGTCAAGTTGAAACGTTGACCATGTGTCTATGTAGATGAAAAGGGAATTTGTCCTAGCTGATGTGGCTTATTTTATAATTGAGGAACGAGAGGGGAAAATTCAAGAGCAGAATCCACGTCACAGAGGTACTTCCTTCCCTCCTCCCCGGCAGCGTTTGAAATCAGACGGTTCCGCAGCTTCTCGGAGTAGATGCTGGTGGGTGGGATGAGGTGCTGTCCAGCACATGATGGTTGTGCCGGCCTGCCCCCTTCCACCACAACGTGAGCTGGAAAGGGAGAATCAGCAGCGCACGTCGGAGGGGAGCCGGTGGCGAGAGGACAGGGATTGACTTGCATGGAGGGGGAGAGGCAGAGAGGCAGCAGGCACGGGGGGTGAGAGGAGCTGACCGAAAGCAAAGGCATTGCCTGTGAGACCTGCTTGGAAAGTACTGGGCAGCTCAAAGGCCTTTGGACATAAGTATATTTAGATCTTAGCTATCTGAGTCTTCAGGACTTCCAGCAAGATTGCAATTCTGCAATTACTTTAATTATTAAACTGTTAGCAAAAATGTTTCTTCATGGAACTGAGTCACGTAGGCACCTTTGAACATCCTGTCCTGGGTGGCTTCTGCGACGCCGAGGACGTGCCCAGCCTGGCCACAGCATGTTTGGCAGATGCAGCCGAACACGTGTTGAACTGTGGTGCAGTAAAGGAGCTTTCAGTAACTTAGTGGTGCTGACTTGTCTGAAGATGGTGCCAGCTTTTTGCTCCCCGAGAATACCCTTTATAGCGTGCCCCACATTTAGCTAGGAGTCAAAATAAACGAGACCTCTTAGAACTACTAGTCATGCTCTTATTACTAATGCTGTTAAATTCATGGGAATCTCTTTGTCCAGAAAAGTTACCTTTAAGTGTACACTACAGTGTGCAAGAACTTCTGTTTTAGGTATAGCATCTACTGATACTAGCAGAAAAGTTGAAACAATCCAGTTCTGCTGCCCTTTAGCAAAATCAATCCTGGGGAGAGCAACTGTATTTCTAGACACCTGCATCTTTCATTATTGATTCTTTCTGTAATCTATGCTTTATCTGATTGGAATAGCTAAGAAAAAAAATATGAAAGATTATCACTGAAAGCATCTGTCCTTATGTCTTGCAGGAGAGAATGCATTAAATATTTCATTAAACATTAAACTTTCCCTCAGAAAGACAATTGTACATTCATCAGGGAGTTGTATTTAAAACATTCAGAATCCTCTTTAGAAGTTTCTTGATTCACTCTCGCCAAGGTTTATTATAAATTCTTACAGAATTTATAATAGAGAGTTAAGAGTTGTACTAATTTTGTGCAAAGACACTTTGCAGAACATGACTTATCATACTCACATTTGCTCAATTACAGAGAATTAGGAAATTAGCACTACTATATATTTTTCATTTTAATAGCTTATTTAATAAAGAAATTCTGCCGTAAAGGAATTCCAAACCATGACAGCTTCTTTAGATATTTTATCATAGGTCTGTATGGAGTCTAGCACAAGTGCATATGACTTAATTGTTGAAGTTGTTTTTCTTTAATTTTACCTGCTAAAGAATCAGTAATCATTGGTTTTATTTTCTTAGAGGAATTACTCTCTCCTGCTTGTCCAAAAGATGAAGCCCTGGCATAATCTTATGTTCTACTTTGTTGATTCCTTATAGTCTTCAAAGAGTAGCTTAATTAATAGTCTGTCTTTGAAGTGAACATAATTGGCTTGAATATTCAAAAAGCTTCTGAGTAAACCTGTCACAAAAGGACTTCAAGAAAAAATATTAAGTAAGATCATCTCAAGTTGATCAGACATGATTTACCCTCAATAAATCCAGTCTGATGGTTCCCAATCATACTGAGGAATCAAGAGGTTGAAGATATTCCTTTTTATTTTTATTTTTCGATCTGGGCAATGATGTTGCCTGCAGGTCGAAGCTGCGTGTTGCCAGTTTTCAGCCCTGTTGATGCCCTGCAACACCTCTAAGGTCAGCAAGAGCTGCTTCCTCTGCAGCCTGGAGATCTCCTGTAGAGCAGGAGCTGCACCCCTCGGCACCCTCTGTCTCCTGAGGGTTTGGATTACCTCACCTAAGTATTTGAAGCTCTTCTTGCATAAGCAGCTTTCTGCCTCTGCTTTCTGATGTCGATCTTACCATTACACATCACTGCATCATATCCCACTACTTAAAACACCCCCAGCAACTTTCAGTGCTTTCTGATTGAAATCTTTATGAGAAAGATGGGTTCTCTTTGAAATGCTCAGGATTGTCCCTATTTCTCCATTTTGGTATTTATATGAAGTGGAGATTGTTTAACATGACTCACAAATTTCCTCTTACTAGGAGATCACAGAGTAGGTGGCACAACTGTTGTTTGTACGGCCTGGAAAAATGTGTCAAAATTCATCTAGCTTTCTGTTTGTCATCGGAGGTGAAACCACATTGCCCAACACAGTTGCTTTAACTTGAAACTCCACAACAGCTCCAGGTGAAGCTACATTTTGAATAAAATCAGACTGATCCGAAGACGTTTTAGCCATATACCTGTAAAAGATACAGGTCCACAGCCTCACACTGGAGACCCTGGTGCGTGACCACGTCACAGCGCGGGGCGCCGCGGACCCCTCGCAAGGGAGGCCCGTGGGAGCGAAGCACCAGGGCAGCCGTCCTGCTGCAGCGCCTGTGCGGGGTGACGCGCACGGCGACGCGGGGAAGGTGCCGTACCACGCGGGAGCGCTGCGGGGTGACGCACACGGCAATGCGGGGAAGGTGCCGTACGAGCCCTCGATGTGCGGGAGCGCTGCGGGGGGACGCGCACGGCGACGCGGGAAGGGGCCGTACGAACCCTCGATGTGCGGGAGCGCTGCGGGGGGACGCGCACGGCGACGCGGGAAGGGGCCGTACGAACCCTCGATGTGCGGGAGCGCTGCGGGGGGACGCGCACGGCGACGCGGGAAGGTGCCGTATGAGCCCTCGGCGCGCGGGAGCGCTACAGGCGCTATGGAAAAATTAGCGGCCCTTTAGACTTCAATAAATAATCCAAAGTGGTTTCATTCAGGCTTCCATTTTGACAGCTATTCAGAGGGCCAGTATTTCATAATTAATAGCTGTTCAACCAAAACATTGGCTTCCTGAAGGAATAAAAAAGTGGCAGTTTGAAAGGAAACACTTAGGGTTATTTATTGAAGTCGAAGGGCTATTATCTTCTAAAATACAAAGAAATCTTTACATGCTGAGGGAATTAGGCTAGAGGATTTACCTGAATACATTTACATTTAAAAGGGTCTTTCATTTTGTTTTATTTACTTCCAAAAACTCTGATATGTTTACTGCCCTTTGTTCATAATGCTTAAAAGAAAATTAAAGGCTATTTTGATATACTCTAAGTCAGTCATTTCTGTGCTTCTTCCTTCATAAATACAGTGGTTTTTTTTTCTGTGCCTCTTCCTTCATAAATACAGTGGTTTTTTGGTTTTAGCTGTTTTTTTTTTAACAGGCAAATACATTTTCAAGCTTATTTATAAAGCATCAGTGACATTCAGTGTTCAGTTAAAGTACTGTAAGTTAATCACTTTTACATGTTGTGTGTAGTTCTTCCCCATTACAGCTTGCTTGCTTGTGGCTTTTTGTTTACATTGGTGATATAAGGTTACTAGTCAACCACATCTAGGGCTTCTCATTGCAAACTTTTTTGTTTCTGTCCTTCCAGGCAGTTGATATCCTTTTGCAGCATGGAGCTTATGTGAACGTTCAGGATGCAGTTTTTTTCACTCCACTGCATATTGCTGCATATTATGGCCATGAACAGGTAACTGAACGGGGGAGATGTGGGAGAGCAGAGCAGTGACACTGAGACAAATAGAGGTTTCTTGGCGCATACTTTCCATTTGTATTCCGAAGGGTCTTGGTAAGGAAAAGCCACATATACAGAAGGTATTTTCCTAACCAAAGTCTGGTTGTTTAAGAGGCTGAATAATCCCTATACTTTCATCCTTAGTGCCAGCAAAACTGGTATCCTCCTCCCTAGACCTCTTGGAAGCAACGCTTGTCTACAGCTCTGATAACGCAGAAACAGACTTGCGCACAGAAGCTTGTTTTGTTTGATGCTTGTTTTTCATTCCACATTTCAGAGATTGAGGCGTGTGAGAATATTGACTTAAATATCTCCAAGAAAATGACAATCTCTTGCCAGTGATAAATAAGTGGCCATTATAGTGGTTTGTGTTGGAATTCACAAATTAAATTATTACCACTTTCAAGTTCATAGAAAAACGGAGGCCTTGCAGGGCAGAACTTTCCATGAGGAATGTGCTTGTCGCATTTAGGCAGGTCATGGAGTTACTAAAAAGTATGCAGAACTTCTGACCAAAATTGACATCAAACCTCCCAGTTCCCTTTGCTGAAGTATTGTTCGCACATGGTTTATGTAGCAATCCAGCCAGTTGCCCTGCAATAATCCCTTTTTTGTGTGAAAAATACTCCTGGATCTATGCTGACTTACACGAGTCATTCCCCATGCCTTTATTTGGCTAGAGGTATGTCTGCTGGGATGTTTTTGAGTTTCAAAGCATAACCTGCAGGTAGAGCGTCCTGCTCCCGCCCTTCGTTAACGCGCCGCTCCCGCGCCTCGGCCGTGCAGGATGTGCGCGCCGCGAGCGGTCCTGAGATCCTGCCTTGGTGCCTATCCACCCCATCAGCCTGGAACATTAGGAAACCCCCTGCATGTTGGGCTGAGAGATTAGTCTGCCGACTTGCTGTGAACCCCTCTGGAGCAAATAGTCCCAGTCCAGCGAAATTCCACCAAAATGCCAGTGTTGCTCTTGTGAGAAGGGAGGCTGTGCAGGAAGCCGCTGCGGCTCCGGGGCTTCTCACTGCGGGGCTCTGAGCACGTTTACTTTATCATGCGGACTGGTCAGTTAAACAAATGCATGTGTTTTATGATTCTCTACCGTCTGTATAACTGTAGAGAGTGAACTAGCATTTGCTCTTGACTATTTTAATATTTTTATAAATAGAGAACTTAAAATGGGTTTCCTAAAGTATCTTCTCACTTGTTTTAAAAGATATTCACATATAGTGATAACCAATGCAATATTCTTTTTGGTACATTTTCATGTGATATTCCAGTTAACCTTGATGAACTCTTTAGGTAACGCACCTCCTGCTAAAGTTTGGAGCTGATGTGAACGCAAGCGGGGAAGTTGGAGACAGGCCCCTCCATTTAGCTTCTGCCAAAGGCTTTCTCAATATAACCAAGCTCTTGATGGAAGAGGGAAGCAAAGCTGATGGTAAGAAAAGAAACAGAAACATTCAATTTCAATACTGTATTTTATATGCTGAGTCAAGCATTGAATTTTGAATTTGCCTTACTGACCCTTCATGTGTATGTTTGTGTATTGTCCTTGGGCAGCTGTAACCAAAAATAACAACTGGAGAGCTTCTCATTACTTGTTTGTCTTGCTATCGCTCTTGCATTTTGCTCCCATGGATAAGTTAGAGGTGAAAAACATCATCAGAAAACAAATCTGAGATTAACATATAGGGATATCTCATAATTGAGACACTGATCCAACCAGAGAAGGTGTGGCCATGCGGCCTGTATCTCCAGTTGTAATGATGTAAATGCACAATAAACTGCTAGCGGATAGGATGTAGATAAAGGATTTTAAGTCAAAATTGTACAGCAAGTAATTTAGAACAATTTGGGTGAGAAATTGCAAATGGTTCACAAGACTTAGAAACAGGAAATGAAGAGGAATGTGTTTAATTCTTGCTTTATTGTGCTGCAGGCTTCTTATGTTTCATTGTAGAGCATTTGCCATAAGAGAAACTGGGGGGAGAGTTGCAGAATTAGTTGAACTTACCTAAAAGTTTGTTGGCATGCATTTTTTCCTTTGCAAGTTAGGAATCACTGCATTCTTTCTATAGGCTATCTCATGCTCAGACCAATAAAACTACTATTTTGCAGTTCAGAACTGTATATTTTGCATATGCCACAACTTAAAATATTTTCCATTTTAATTTATATTGGTACCCCTCTAGTAATACTGCCTGGTTCTTAGGTTTACTCTTTTGTTCCCTCTCCTTAGGCTGGTTCAGCAATGTAGGAGGCACAAGACAGAGCGCGCTCACCTTGCTCACTCCTTCCACCTCAGCTAATAGAAGAGAATGTTAGTGCTGAGGCTTATGCACGCTACATAACAGCAGTGTTATTTGGAAGGCTATTTCTCGTCCTTAGAAAAAAAACAAAAGAAAAAGCCTTTTGAAAATGAACAGTATACGCTTTGCAAAAGTACTGCTCTTAATTCATCTTTGGGCTGCATTATTATTGTTATTAACTTATATCCAAAATATGCAAGGTAAAATCTTTGTCTCCTTGAAGTCAGTGGCAAAACTCCCATTGATTTCAATGAGTCAGGATTTTGCCTAGGGAAACAGTCACTATTTGATTTGGAGAGAACTAATTAAAAAGAAAAATAGAAAAAAAAAAAAAGGGAAAAAACCAAAATGCTGGCACTTGCTGCAAGAATCCTGCATGTTACAGAAGGAACAAAGTTATCAGGATTCTTCAGCTGCTGCCTCTCAGTCGCAGCGTGTCGGTGCCTGGCGCCGGTGCACGGTTCCTCGTGGATTTGCACGGCTGGAGCAGGCGGAGCGGGAGCGGAGCGAGGCTGCGAAGGGCTCCCTGCGCCCGCCGCAGCAGCCCTTCCCGCCCCACCGCGGTGCCCCGGCTCAAGGCTGCAGTGCTTGGTCCGGACTCTGGAACGCTCTACCATTCCCTAACAATTGGAAAAACATGGAAAAGAGCCTGTGAGGCCTCTTCCTTGTGCAGCGTGCCCAGGAGCGCTGGCATCAGCACCACTCGCGCACTCCGGCCCCGCGGGTCGCGCTGCCGCTCATTCCCTCCCCGTTCTTCCTTCCCAGGCTGTGGCAGTGCCCCGCTAGCGTCACGGCTACGGGCCAGGCCTCTTCCCTGCCTGCTGAAAAATGGAGGGAGGGGACGCCAGGCTCAGGGTCGTAGGTGCCCTCTTCTATAGTGAGCCCCGGAGGCTTCAGCCGTAACGCGTGTGCACTGAACAGACACTGCTGTAATCAAGAGTGGAATAGGAAGAGATGTTCACTCACTATGACTAGGCAGCAGGAGGCTCACTATCTGTTAAATAATTTATTTCCAAAGGAAGAGAATTTCGGACACCATTTAAGGTTCTTTGTTTCAAAATCAGTATGTTCTGCACTGGAAAAAGCAGAGGAGAGTGGAAGCAGGAAGACTTGTACTCACAAAATAAGATGCTTGAAACTTGGTTGGAATTAGTGATGGAGGAAGAGCTCTTTGTGCTTAAGAAAGGAAGGAATTTATGAAGTAATACACAGAAATGCTGGCAGTTTCCTGTGCAGACACGGAAATGTGTGTCATGAACGTGAATGATTTAACATGGCCTGGCTGGTCCCCCAGCCCTGAGGCCTGGGCAGCTGACGAGGGAGAACGGTGACCACCGACCTGCTCTGGAAGGTCAGAGTGCTGCTGAAATACCCGCGTTTGCAGTGCAAGAGCAGCCGTGATGCACGTATGTAGTGTACGTATGGATGGATGTGCATCTGTACGTAAAGGTGTCATCCGTGCATATATAACCACGGATGTTCACAGTTTATATATAAATGCCTGTATATAAAACCAATGGGCTGCAAGTGCCGTCAGATTTCTGGATGCTAATGTCATTATCTGTTTATATGGCATTACCAGGGATTTAGTGAAAGCCCTATAGGGAAGGGCAGCTTGGTGAGTGCCTACGTAAAGGCCGTGTGTTTGCAGACCGTGTTAGGCCGCACGCGCGGCTGCGCGAGGAGGCAGAGCCGGAGCTTCCTTCCGCGGCCCCTTACACCCTTGTGTGGCAGAATCCCACGGCCCCGACGTCTCTGAGGTCCTTCAGGCCAGTCGGTGCGTACAGAGTATAAAACTTTGACATCTATTATTGTAAAATTTTGACATTCATTTCCCTCTTATTTATGCCACTTCAGAATGCATTTATATCTGCTACCACATCATAATAAAAAGGTAAAGGCTAACATGTCAGAAGCAACCTAAAAGTGAAGACAAATTTGAGAACAGAGAAATTCAGAGAAACAGAGAAATGGTTTACTTTTGTAACTCCTTTTTAATACAGCCCCTAGGGAACATTGGTGGGAACAGTTAATGAAATTTGAGAGCTCAGTCTAATAATAATTTGAAAGCTTAACATAAATTACAAGAAGAACTTTTTTATCTTTCTTGCCTGAAACATAATTCACCTTTGGCACTCTGTCACTAAATATCAATGCAATTATAAGTTTAGTGCTGTTTCAAGGATTTCCTATATGTGTGGGCATTTGCCAATACTTCATAAAGGTTTTAAAACAGCCTTTATTGAAACATTTGTTGCTCCTTATAATCGCAGAAAAGTGAGACAGGAAGGAAGCTCAGAATGTCCTTTGGTTTATCCCCTGCCCCAGGCTGGGTCAGGATCATTCCTGTTACGCTTGAACTCCTGCCTGGCGCCTGTTTGGACCTGCTCGCGGGACAGGCTGTTCCTCGCAGGAGTG